AATGCCGATGTGAGAAAAGAAGCAGCAGAACAGGGGCAGGAAAAAGAACTGGTTGACTGGCTTGAGTACAACAGGTGCATGGTACTGTTGCTGTCCAGATTGATGTTAGAGTTTTCAAGAATAATAATAGAATCAGCGCGTATCATGATAATATTAATAATTGTGATGGTAATAATAACAGTACTGCCGATTGTATGGTATAAAAAGGAGGAATTTATAAGTGGGAGAAAGTGCATTTTTATCAGATGTGCGAAATTCATGGGATCAAAATGAAGGACACCGTGTGTGCACAATTTTCGCTATATAAAAACTTGGCCCTGACCACCAAGAGGGCAGTACAGTAAGAGAGAGGCGCCTTGATAAGTCTGAGATGAGTGAGGATCAATTAAAAACCAATACGTTCAAACAAACGGAAAGGATGCGACAGAGAGAAAATATCAAAAGATATGAACCAATGAAGACAGAACTAGTCGTTTGGGGGTTAGTGAAGATAACATCAGTCTGGTTTTCTTGGTCAGAAAAAAGCCCGTGAGTGCGTGGGGGTTAGATAGGACTATTGCTGAAAAAATAGATGAAAATAAGTAACCAGATGAGAGAGAAACCGGGGAGGTGATTGGAGGAAACGTAGGGGAGGGAGAAACGATAAAACCTGTACTCGAGGTGGAGTGTATTGAGAACCGCAACAGAGTGGAAAAAGAGAGGAAATAGTAAAATGTCCACCCCATTCTTAAATTGATTTTATTCAAATCTTGAATTCAGTTTCCATAGCACGTGAACCCGGAGTGCTCTCGGGAGTAGCGAACGGATACGGACGAGCTTCGGAGGCATGAAAGCAATGAATATAAACAACGTGAGGAGGGTATTCTGCTAGGCTGCTCTCAAACTAGCAAAGGAGAAGACGAAACACAGGGAACAGAACACATTCGGTGTAGCATAAAACATCACAGAGTGGATCAAATGCACAGAGGGGTAATGCGCAACGACGGAGTTAAGGGAAATGAACAGTAAGACGGGGTCAAGGCATTACGCGACTCAAGCATGAGAGCAGAGATAAGAAGAAATAAGCTATTTGAGTAAGCGATCACTCAAACAGAAGGGAGCATGATGTACAAGCGGCACGACAGCAGGCAAACAGAGGAGGGGTAAAAAGAAGAGATCTACTGATGGTGGTCAGAAATAACGATTAGGAAAGCCATTTTTGGGGATCATCTCAGGAAGCAAAACGGTCAGAAGTCGATGAGCGAAGATCGGATCGGGGAGGGGTGATTGTTTCATTTGAAAATCGACTAGCACCAGTACCAGCAGTAGTAATCGTGATTGGTACTGGGTCAAAGCAATGCACCAAACCGAGCACATGACGCAGAACTGATCAAACAGAATTCTCAATTGGGGTGAAGGATAAACACAAATTTGTTAAATTAGGGNCGTTTTCCTTGAATAGCGCAGAAGTGTGTGGAAACGATGGATGCGGCACAACAGTTGTGTACATGTACCAATAAGAAGATAGCAATCAAGCCGAAAAACATCCCCACTGAGTACAGGATCAAAAGACCCAGCAAATCACGTGGAATAAAAAAAAGCAATTAGTATGCCGTGTAATAAGCGTTACTGATTATCGTAACACGAGGCGTTCTCATCGCACACACATCTCATTTGTATGGGATATGAGCGTGCATACAGCGAAAACGATCAGGTGGATTGGTTTAGCCAGGAGCAGTTTGGTCCCTCATCTGCCCACCCGGACAACACCGGTAGAGAATAGAGGCGCGTTTTGTCCCAGGATTTGAGTGAGCACGAGGAACTACACAAAACTGTTCAAGTCTGCGTATGGACAGGCGGAGAGATTTGGGGCCGAAGAAAAAAGTGTGCCAAGAGATGACGGTAGGTTGCGGTCTAGTGGCACAGAGGTAGCAAGGTCCGACGAGAAAAGGAAATCGTACCCCCTTCAGAGAAGCCAAAAGTGATGTCTGACGTTCAGTGTGGGGAAGTTTGCGCAAGAAAAGAAAATCCCAAGTATGTGTTCGCACGCCACGCACCTGATTTTCAAGACTCAACGTTAGATTGGGGCGCATTATAGAAGGATCTGACATGTTTCATTGTAAAACAAAAGCTAGACAATTGCTGGATAGTATGGGATTTGGCGTAAAGGGACAAATAAGACAAGACGGTTGAAAGGAAGAACCCTGGAGGAAAGATTGCAACGGGAAAACAATATAATCCAAACAGCCTCGATTAAACCTGACTCGACGCTGGTCAAGATAAATGTGAGGGGTGTGTAAAATACCATTATTCATCCCACTATTCACTGACACTGTCAGGTATGGTAGGAGGTGAACAAATGCGCCAGGTGCAATTTGTCTATCGAATCTGAGCTACTGAGAACAGACAGAGGAAGAAGGCTGAGTAGTCTTCATGGGCTGAAACAGGAGGATGTGGACCGTATATCCGGAGGCAATGGGTTGCTCAGTTGCGGTGAACATGGACTAGGCGATGATGAAGCTGTGGAAGGGAGTCCGTGTAAATCCATCATAACTTCTGAATCTCCATCCAGTGTAGGCGATGGGCGTGCAAAGTTCAATGACGAATCCACTGGATCCGAAAATACAGCGGAATTTTGGCGATTCTGATGTTGCTTAGCGGCAACCATGGTCTCCACTGGTCCCCAGAAAAAAACAGGCCAAGGAGGGTGGAGGAACGAGAAGCGATAAGGAAATGTAGATGTAGGTAACAGATAATGCCGCGGTTAAATAAAAATGAACAAGACATTCCATAACAATTATTCTGTAGCCACTAGATGGACTATAACGTGCAAGAGTGTATTCAATAGTCTCCGTGAACATTTAAACACGAAACGTGGTGAGGATAAACAGGAAGACAGATTCTGAAACTGAGAGACCTCGGACGCGTTTGAGTGAAATGTCCTTGACATTTGATAATGGTTAATGAAATAATACATTTAAGAAAAATAAAACTCTTACACGAGATCAAACTAAACAATAATTGAGAACAAAGTTTGGTAGGTGAAGTAAAATGTTTCATAGTTTACCACTATTTACACTTATACAGGGTGACTGGGGCATGGCGAGAAGATAGCGAAAAGCGCGTTATAACAACACCTATTCGAAGTGAATCAACCTGTGAGCATAAGTTAAGCGCTTGCCTAGCCTATCGGACTTCGTTTTCAATTTTGCAATGAACATCTTCCGTATAGAGAATAACAATAATAATAACAAACAAAATTATGCAATTGTTTTGAGCCTGCCAACGAAATACGAAATGGAAATATATACTCAAGAGGGAGTTTCAACTTTCGATCAAAGACCAGCAACTTTGTCTTCTACGGAGCTTAGTGCACAAATACAGCCAAATGCAACATCATTACAAGTAACGGAACGGTATACGCTGTCTTTTCGAAAACTCACGTCCAAACACATCGTTGATGATATCATCCGGAAGTAGACTCTCTTCGGGTTTTGAATCTGAGTCAAACATTACATCCAACGGAACAGAATTGGTGAGCAGCAGAAGATCCGGACCGGCCGTTTGCCTGTTTAAAATGGACTCTGACGGACCGGAATCCAAACGGCTGTTTGTACTGGTTGATGCAGATCGTGGTTTGCGGATGTGTGCTGTAGTGTCTTGTGATACTGATAGAATGGGTGACGTCGAAGCGGTCGGAACCACGATCGCACCGGTTAACAGCGGCGGCGAGATGCGATGTGGAGAAGGGACTACGAACAGTTGAGCATTCACAGCCGACCGAGACACTAGGGTCGTTTGTTCGGTTGGAATGACTGTTGCATGGACTGCGCTTGCATTTGTTGAAGGCGAGAGGGAATAGACGAATGCGTTGGATTGAGATGATAGACGGGAATTCGTGCATACAATCGGCACGGTTGGTGTCACTGTGGAGGCGGGATCACAAACGATAGTCAGTTTGGGTTGTGTTCCCGACTCCGAATGTCCGGAATGGACCAACAACACCTCAGGATTAGTCAGAGGAGCACGTGCGGTGAACGCGTACGATGGTCGTTCCAATGTACTAAGGACCGTTGTATTGGCGTGCATCATATTTGTTGGATTCGGGACGTAGCCAAGGACATAACTATCACCAATAGATGTGGACTGAGAGTTGTCTATGGAAACTGGTACAACAACATTGGTGGTTACCGTCGGTACAGAAGAGACAGAAGTCCAAGGCGGAGATCCGGAAAAGTGAACAGAATCCGTACCGATTTGTTTAAGCAAAGTATCCGGGGAAACAC